CAGGTATAACCTCTTCAGTTCTTATGAACAAGAAGAGTTAGATTAAGCTAAGAAATAGTGGTAAGCCACTAATTGTAATATTTAAATCAGAATTTGAACACTTTCCTCTTCAGTTTTTCTAAATACATGTCTTTCAGGATTGCTGAACTATAACCCCCATTATCTCCAGATAGGAAGGCATTGGAAAATATGGTTCAGTCCATCAGGAAGACATCAGGATGGGCTTCCTTTTCTTAATCTGATGCTTATTTGTTAACACAGTAGTTAATAACAGGAACAGTAATAGGTTCTTTGGATATATGATGATAGGATTATGTCCCTGGATACCAGCCAGCATTTAGCTTTGAAGACTCAGACAGACCTAATTATAATGGGAGGAAAGCTCCTATTAGTGCCAAGACATATTATGCCTCCCTTGGCTGACAGTATATACTGTAGTCTTTTCGTTGGAAGATATTCAGAATGAAGCACATGAGAGGCCCAAAGAGCTTAAGGATCCTCACCTTGGTCTGGTTAAGCCTATATATTGAAGATGCTAGAACAGTGATGGCAAACCTATGGCATGACCTTCTCCTGCCTGCCTCTCACCATCCTGTTTGCTCACATAGGGCTGCTCTCCTCAGGGTTCCGACGGCGAGCCAATGTCATCTGGCAGCGCCCAGGGGTAGGGCGTTCTCTGTGGGTGCTCCCACCCTCTGGAATGAGTTGCCTACTGAGCTCTGGACGGCTCCTGATCTCCGCTCCTTCTGTCGGGACCTGAAGACTTGGCTGTTCAAGCAAATAGGCTGACTCTGAGTCTGGGTTTTATTATTTATTATTTATTAGTTAATTTGGTTTAAAATGGGATTTTGTTGATCATGTTTTTAACTTGTGTTCGCCGCCCTGAGTCCTTCTGGAGAAGGGCGGCATATAAATACATGAAATAAATAAATAAATAAATAAATAAATAAATAAATAAATAAATAAATAAATAAATAAATAAATAAATTTTGCTAGTTTCTGGGCAAGATTTGTTTAACTTGTAGATATTTTAATCTTGTATTTTATATTTTATATTTTATGTTGTATAGTATGCCTTATTTTAATTGTGATGCTTCTGACATGAATAAACAAACAAAGAAGCAAACAAACCACAGACTTAGCAATAGTCAAATGCATAGTATTAGCATGTGTTAGCATGTGATTTTTCAATATAGGTTGAATTACTTATTGGTGATCCAGGCTCTTTGGACCATTAAAATAAAATCTATTGTTCCAGAATGCCATTCACCCTTGTCTTGCTTCAACTGAGCAATCCACATACACCTGCACATATGCTAATAGCCTTGGATGCTCATCAACTGGGTATCTCTCATGTAAACCAGCAAGAGATTCCAAAACCTATGTTTTGGTTTCTTTTTCAGTGATCTGCAGCCAACTGCTTGGATTTACTAGGGACTTAGTTTTACTCAGGGAATTTTTCTAATCTAATCACCAGACTTATTGGTTAACAAGGTAGTTAATAAAAGAAACACATTTTCCGCTTCAAACTCCTGAATGCCATTAATCATAGCTGTTTGCAGAAAGCTCAGAGGCACTATTTTCTTGAAGCAGAAGATGGATAGTTTTCATTACATTTGACAGGATGGAACTAAAAGAATATATATATAAGTATAGCTATGCGCGTGTGGGGGTCATGCCTCTGTAATGTGGAGCTAGAATGGATATCATTAGGGACCAATTTAAAGAGCAGCTGGGGTTGGTCCTTCCTGAAATGATTTTTTTTTATGTACACTATAGGAAATCTGGCATGATTACAAGAAATGGATGTATATCAAATGGAAAGAGAATGAATGTTATCACCCACTTAAGAATATTCATTTAGTTTTAGAATCTGATTTAATTTAAAATACTTAACACTTATTGAAATTCTTCATTTGCTTTCTGAGTTCTAAGACCTATTGAATGCAAAAGAGTTCATTCCCAATTAGAAAAACTCCAATCTATGGAAAAGTTACTGTATATTTTGTAATGTCAAAGCTCTTTCCACCATCAGGGTGAGACAGTGTCAAAAAATAATGCCAGGGAGGAATTAGTATTTTGCATATGCTTATAAGTATTATTGTGTTTATTACTACTGTATTTCAGATATGTAAGAGTGAAACCTGGGGGTGGGATTTTGGTGTATAAATGTACAGGTAGTTCTCGGTTCACAACCACTTATTTAGTGACTGTTCAAATTTACAACAGCCCTGAAAAAGTGACTTATGATCGGTTTTCACACTTATGACTGTTGCAGCATTCCCCATGGTCACATGATCAAATTTTGAGTGCTTGGCAACTGACATGTATTTATGACAGTTGCATGGTATCCTGGGGTCATGTGATTACCATTTGTAACTTTCCCAGTTCCTACAAGCAAAGTTAATGGAGGGAGCCAGATGTGCTTAGCAGCTGCATCCTTCACTTAACAGCTTCAGTGATTTGCTTAGCAACTGCAGCAAAAAAAAAAAGGACATAAAATGATGTGCAACTCACTCAACAACTGTCTTGCTTAGCAATTGGAATTTTGGGCTCAATTGTAGTAGTAAGTCAAGGACTACCTGTATTGTTAAGATATTAAAATTAAAAAAAGTATAAAAAAGGAAGATACTTGTCAAGCGTGCCTCTGTTCAAAACCCAAGAAAGAAAACCCTCAACTCCATGTTTGTAGAGAAGAGGTACTTTTACTGAGTGTGAAATGATAGCAACGAAAGAAAAGCAAGATCTGAGCCAAAAGGCACAAAAGTTACATGTTGAAAGTTTCCCTAAATCCCTCCCCCAAGGGACCCAGGCTGAATATCCAATCCATGTCCTGCATAGTGTCATGTGGGGCACATCTTCAGGTGTTTGACCAACTGGTATGCCAAGATGGTGACCTTGACTGGGTATAAACAAATCCATTCAGCTGTGCAGCAGATCCTGAGAGCATCCCTCCCTTTTGGTTCGCACACAGGCCATCTTCACTCCAGCTCTCTTCCCCACCCAAATGCCAATCCTCCCCCCTCCCCGTTACTATGGCAGCTGATAGCAAGCAAGCATCAAAGAGGCTGACAATAGTATAGAAGAAGATTGTTACACCTGAATTAAAAAAAAACAGTGAAAAAAAAGAAAAAGTTAATTACATCATCTCCTTCCCTTCTATTTGTATCTTCAATCACAGGCCATCCTTTAGCGATTTCAACTTTGCATCAAACTTTAGTAATTGTTGTTAGTTTCCATTTGAATCCTAAAAACTACATTCCAGATATCTAATCTGCCTTGCTTTATATACAAGGGAACCATTCTTACTTGAATTTATTTTATGTAATTAATTAAACTTCTATCGTACAGGTAGTCTTTGACTTAGGACCATAATAAGGACCAGAAAGTTCATTAAGTCATGCGGTTGTTAAGTGAGACATTATGTTTATGTGACTTGCCACCTCCTCCCAGTTTTTCCATTGACTTTGTTTGTCAGAAGTCGGCTAAGAAGGACACAAATGATGATCATGTGACTGCAGGACATTGCAATTGCCATAAGTGTGAGGATATCCAGGTTGCAATCATGTGTCCCCAGGAGAGCTATGATGGTTGTAAATGCAAGGACCGGTTGTAAGTCACTTTTTTTCAATGCTGTTGTATCTTTGAATGGCCACTAAATGAATGGTCATAATTGAGGATTATCTGTAGATATATATGCTGTCAATTTGACCATTGGATTATACCTTCTATCTCACACTGTCCTTCCTCCCCACTTCCCGGAAAGCACTAGAGAAAACAGATGCTTTGAATATATGGTGTTACAGGTTGAAATTCTTGTCTTGTTACATCAACATTTTCTTTGTAAAACTAAGCAGAGCTTAAATGAGTTTGTTGATATCTGTTTGTTTGCGGCAATAAAAGTCTGATAGTTATTTGCAAGACTCAAGTTATACAAGATCAAATCTAAGGGCTTCAGAAATATTCTCTATCCTTCTCCCCAGTTTTGTTTCACTTCAGCTCCAGATAGCTGATCCAATTTTAGGAACGGTTATCCTGGAATTAGTAGCAAAACATTAACTACTATAAGCTTCCCACCCCCCCACCCCTCCAAACCTAAGAAACAAAGAATGCCTTGTTAGATTAGATCAAACTAAGGCTTGTCCACTCCAATGTTATGGTGTAGTCAGTCATTTGCCTCTGGGCCTGGGCACTTATAAGCAGGTTTTGAAAGTGATTGCATTCATTCCCTTCTTGAGGTATAGTTCCTTACTTCTACACTGACATTTTCATTGCTCTAGTAATAGTAGCACAATTAAAAGGAGAAGCCTTTGGACCAGGGGTGAAATCCAGCAGGTTCTGACAGGTTCTGGAGAACTGGTAGCGGAAATTTTGAGTAGTTCAGAAAACTGGCAGATACCACCTGTGGCTGGCCCCAAAGTGGGATGGGAATGGAGATTTTGCAGTATCCTTCCCCTGCCACGCCCACCAAGCCACACCACACCACACCCATCAAGCCACCCCCACAGAACTGGTAGTAAAATAATTGGATTTCACTACTGCTTTGGACCTTTATCATTGTCCAGAATGGATAAAGAGTGCCAAACATTGATATGATATCTTAAAGCAGAGATGGACTGGAAGTAAGAAATATGAATTGAAAACTATGGCATATCAGCCTTCAAGTTGTATACAGTAATGTCAACACATTTTTGAGCCATGTTAAAAAGTAGCAGAATACATTATATAACTCCAAGACCAGAGAAAATTGCATTATATATTTCTCTACCCTAATACAAATAAACCTTTTATGCTTTCTTTCCTTTTGCTTTCCCTCCTAAATAAATTATTTCTGTTTAGCCACTTGAACAAAAGTCAGATAACTCCCAGTAGCATATTTTCTGCCTTAACATTTCCCTCAGAATTGAGGGACTCCTGCTTTCTTTCAGCAACAACAACAAAAAACACCCCAATCCACTACTGTCTGACCAATAACATTCATTTTCCTTTCTACATTTTAGGTACAAAGCCATTGTAAATCCAATGGATATTCAAGCACCCAATGCAGTGCTCTGGACATGTATTAAAGTAATCGGCATCTGGATAATTTCCATCTTGCTAGCAGTCCCTGAAGCCGTTTTCTCTGAGGTGGCACACATCAACGATTCAGATAATGTCAGCTTCACAGAATGTATGCGCTATCCCTTGAAGGATGATCTGCACCCAAAGATTCATTCAGTGATGATACTTTTGGTATACCTTCTTATCCCACTCACCATCATTAGTATTTATTATTACCATATTGCAAAGACATTAATGAAGAGTGCACACAATCTGCCGGGAGAATACAATGAACAATCTAAAAAACAGGTAAGTTTTCCAGATCCATGTGAGATTTATTTTAAGAAAGTCTACAAGATAAATGGAATGTTTAGTATACAGGTAGTTCTTGACTTCACAACCACAGTTGGAAGCAGAATTTCTGTTGCTAGGTGTTAAATGAGTCATGTCTGATTTTAAACCTTTTTAGGTTTAAAAGGTTTAAGTGAACCATGTTAAGGAATTCGCAGAGCAACCCATTGAGTAGCAAGGGTGTGCACATGAAAGCGATTGAGAGCAGTTGCGAATAAACACAGCCAACACACAGATACACTGAGTTGTGTTTACTTTAAGGAAATAGTAATAAGGCACAGTCCAATAAACAGTCCAGTCATACACAAATAAAGCAGTAGATAGTAAAACAATAGTCCAGGGATAATCCAATAACAAAGTCTTCTTACCAGTCGTCGTAGTCATGCACAATAAACAGTTGCAAACAGTAGCAAACACAACAAAGAGCAGTAAAGAGCAGTAATGATCAGCAAAGAGAAACAAACCATGTTTCAAGGACATTGGCTACAGAGCAAACCAATCAGGACACAGCATGATGCAAAACAGCAATACAGTCTTAAAGCTATATTGAGGGTTTATATATTGCCAACCCAACAAGTTAGGTAATTATCATTACCTAACAAACCACATGGTCATTAAGTGAATCCAGTTTCCTTCCTTGACTTTGCTGGAAGGAAATTGGCTGGGAAGGTCCTATGGTGATCACGTATCCCTGGGACACTGCAACCTTCACAAGCACGTCAGTGGCCAAGCACCCAAATTTTGAATGTGGGAATGCTATGATGACTGTAAGTGTGAGGACGGGTTATAAGTCACTTTTTTAAGTTCTGTTGTAATTTTGAATGGTCACTAAACAAACGCACGCTGCATGTGCATGTGCAGTGTGTGCTAAATGCACGCTGCATGTGCGCGCATGTGCAGTGCGTGCCAAATGCACATTGCATGTGCATGCTCAGAGCATGCCAAATGCACACGCATGCACTATGCGTACCAAATGTGCACTTTGCATAGAAAAAGCACACTTTATAAGGTAAGTAGAACAGCGAGGGGGAGAATAGCGCTATTTAGATTCACTAGAAAGCAGGATTTATTCCTTTCTACGGAATATAAATTGCATGGCACAGTTGATAGTCGGAAATACCGGTTTGGAACAACCAATAGCTTTTTTTTACTACTGGTTTGCCCGAACCTGTGCAAACCAGTAGGATTTCACCACTGGTCACATACTTCTGCTTCTCAGTTGTTATTTAATTCATGTGGTATGGTCTGGATCAAATCCATTCTGTGGGTAATAAAGAATCCTTCATTATATAGGAGGGCAAGAGTGGTGCGGTGGCCTAGAGGTGGAGCTCTCGCTACACAATCAGGAGGCTGTGAGTTCGATCCTAGGTAGAGGCAAATATTTCTCTCTCTAGGCACTTTGAGAATATATCTGCTGAATATAACTCCACATTGGTGACAGGAAGGGCATCTGGCCAATAAACACTCAGCTCCATTCAGTTGCCCAGACTCCACCCCGCAAGGGATTATGGGATCGTTAAAAGGAGATGATGATGACTCTATAGGAGGGCAAGTGGTAGATTGGAAAATTCCTATTTTTCCTAAAACGGGACATGTCTTTTTTTAAAAACAACAACAACAGCACTCCTGACACCAATGGATTTTTGAAAAACAAGTTTTAGGCCTAGTAGAAAGAACTAACTCTCCCATAGGCAGAATGATTCCAAATGAAATCAGCCTACTGTACATTTCTACTTCAGAAAGAAAAGGAAGGTATGAAGTATAAGCTCAGGTCTTTCACAGATCAACAAGCAAGGACAATTAATTAAAAAAAAACTAACGCTCAGCCCTGTCTCTCCCTTATTATGAAAAATATTGTTCCTGATACTGCATTTATTTCGTGGTTAATAAACAAAATTCCACAAGACAGAATTCTGATCACATTTGCGATTTCATTAGCATGTCCACACAGCAGATGTTCTACCAGATCCCTGCAGGCTTTTCTTCTACCCTGTTTTCCCGAAAATAAGACATCCCCTGATAATAAGCCCAATCGGGCTTTTAAGCGCATGCGCTAAAATAAGCCTCCCCCCAAAAATAAACCCTCCCCAAACACAGAGCTGGAAATCAGGTAAAATGGCAAGAGGAGTCCCATCTTGCTCCACATACCCCAAAATAATAAGGCCACGTGCTTATTTCGGGGTTTAAAAAAAATATAAGACAGAGTCTTATTTTCAGGGAAACACGGTCGTTTTGCTTAGCCCCAAGAAATTTCAGTTGTTGCAGGATCTCTAACTTAATGACTTAAATCAGCTTGCATCAATGTAAGGATCTTCTGCAAAAAACCCTTGATTTTAATTGAATACTGATGCATCTCCAGACTTTATACCCAATACCTATATCGAAGTTTTGTATGCTTGAACGAAGATTAAATGCTCAGCTTGAACAATATACAAAGTGTCCCAAAAGTTAAAGGGCAATGACTGAAATATATCCCCAGTTACTGCAATTTTGTTAACATTTAAAATTCACCATCTCCTGCTCATACATAGTTATTGATTTTTTTAAAAAATCAATGTCCCTTAATTCTTTTCTCTTTTCTGGTTTGTTGCTAAATTTTAACTGCTGTATAAATTCTGGAGTGCTCTGTATACTCCTTTTTAATATCCTTTAATTCTACTTTCATTATTTTTTTAGAAATAACTGAAGGCAGCAAATATATCTAGTACTCTGTCATCCTCTTATTTGCTCCACTATTATAATATACTATAATATATTATAATAGGTTGCTATTGCAACCTTGTGAGATGGGTTGGGGTTAGAGAGAATGACTGACCCGAAGTAACCCAGCCTGCTTTCATGCCAAAGTAGGTCTCCTGGTTTCTAGTCAGAATGAGAGCAATTTAAATAGCCCTTCAAGCATTACTGGGAATAGTTTATAATCCTGTGGTCCACAGATAATTTATGCCCAGCTGTTAAAAGCTTGAACCTTGAGCAACGGCCCTTATTTTGAGAAAGATTGCTTCAGATTAATCTATTTTGGCAGTTATAATTGACACATGCCCTTTGTGAAGGCCAGATTATTAGATGGGGAAATGGTTTGCACTACACTAAATTAATTTTCTTCAATTGATTGTCCTCTGGAAATGGTGGGATTATTGCTCCAGAATTCTCCAGAGAAACACTATGCTGACTAGGGAATTCTGGGAGCTGTAGTCCCAATACGTCTGGAGAAAGTTGACTTGCCATATCTTCCTGATAAAATATATTGTATGAGTGTGAAAATGAATGATAGAATCATTCACTATAAGAATGTGAATGACAATTCAGATCTTGATTAAGACATACGCAGGAAGGAAAGATATTTCTTATCCTCATCCCCCTTCATTCTTCTGGATTTTAATCAATTAAGTTCAGCTGTCAATGGTCCTGGTTAAACAGACCTTGGCAGAATTTGCACTTTGCTTCTCTGGGGAAGCTGATCAAACTACGTGAATGTTGTCACCTTTTTTCAGTTGTCATTGGTAAAATTAAAGATGTCATCAGATTTATCTGCGATAGTATGTGTAGTCTAACCCTGTTTACACAAGGATCTGAGAATATGTGCAGAATAATTGGCATTAAAAGATTTTATTGGGAATTAGCTTTCCTGCTCATCCTTGAACAATGTATTGTGAACCCTGAAAGAAAGCATAGGGTCAGATCAGCTATTTTTTGGGACAGGTCTACTGACCTCAGATTGTTAATCTCTGTTTATTTGTTCACTCTAGATGGAAACTCGAAAACGCCTGGCCAAGATTGTATTGGTTTTTGTTGGGCTGTTTGCTGTGTGCTGGCTGCCAAATCATGTGTTATACATGTATCGGACTTTCAATTATCATAAGATTGACCCATCCCTCGGCCACATGGTTATTACCTTGTTGGCTCGAGTGCTGAGTTTCAGCAATTCATGTGTCAACCCATTTGCCCTGTACTTCCTCAGTGAGAATTTTCGGAGACACTTCAATAGCCAACTTTGCTGCTGCAGGATTCATCCTCAGCCAAGGTCTACCAGCTACCTGAACAATTCTTCAGCCATGCGGGTGTCTTCATTGGGGAACCATCCAAGGCACACTGTTGCTATGACAACCCTGCTGAATGGGCATACCCCTAAACAAGAGATGTCATTGTGATTAACCAGTGCAACGTCTGACCTCAAAAAGAAATTATTTTAATCATCTTTCTTGTGGCTGGCCTCAGTTCCTTTAAAAAGCCAATAGATCCTAATCTAAGGGATGTCATATCCTGATCTAGGGATAAGTATTTATTAATTATCACTGTTGTAAGAAATGGAGGCTATTATGCTTTCCTTACTCTTGACTGAAGAAATGCTTCCAAGCTTATTGTCTTAAAAAGTTGAACATAAATGAAGTATGAAAAGGGCATACATGCTCACCTGCCACTTGAAGGGAATTAGTCTAGGTTTCCAGGTGTGTAGATAGCTCTGGAAGTCAGGCATCTCTTTTGTCAAGAGTTTGTTTTTCCAGTCCCACACAAAGGCATTGCTGCTTATGTCACCTCTGCTGAACTTAAACAATGAGCTTGGTAAAAATAAAAATGTTACTTGGCTATTCCCTTTCAAATGATTTTATTCAGATTGGATGACGCTCCTAAAGAAGAAGAGCTTGGGGAAAGCACCGTCCAAGTTGTTTGACTAGCTGTTTACAAAGCAGTATGACTGTAGCTGGATCAGGGTCATCCAGGTGCAAATGCCACACCAAGATATTGTGAACTACATATTTGGAATTAAGTAACACTGAAATGAGCATGAATTCGGGGCAAACTCTGGGAGACAGTGGAAGACAGGTGACCTGGCTTGGTATGGTCCATGAGCGAACAATTGGACATGACTGAACAACAACACTGACAAACTGGGCAAACACCCTATATATTTATCTTTTACATTTGCTCTGTACTTCATCTTTTCATTTTATCAGATTAACAGAGTTGGAAGGGACCTTATAGGTCATCTAGTCCAACCTCCCGCTCAAGCAGGAGACTCTACACCATTTCTGACAAATGGCAGTCTAATCTTTTCTTGAAAGTCTCAAGAGACGAAGCTCCCACAACTTCCGAAGGCAAGCTGTTCCATTGGTTGATTGTTCTCACTGTCAGTAATTTCCTCCTCATTTCTAGGTTGAATCTCTCCTTGGTCAGTTTCCATCTATTATTCCTTGTCTGGTCTTCAGGTGCTTTGGAAAATAGCTTGACCCCCCTCCTCTCTGTGACAGTCCCTCAAATATTGGAACACTGCTAACTCTAGGTTATTCAACTTGACTGACCAACAGCAAACAAAGAACACAAAACAATGAACCTGTCATTGAACAAGACTTTGTTGACATCAAAAACTTGGCTTTACAGCCAGGAAAGCTAAGCACAACTTCTGTGAGATGTTTCACAGCTTGGGAGTGACAGTGGAAAAAGTGTAAGGCCTCAAACTCTGATATTGTGCTCATCTTTTTTTTTTAATCTGTATCATATATTCCAGGGGTGGGTTCTAAAATTTTTTACTACCGGTTCTGTGGGCGTGGCTTATTTTGTGGGCATGGTTTGATGGTCATATGACAAACAATTCTTTAGGATTTAGCAGAGGTACTGGTCTACCAGGCTTTTTACTGCTTGCAGAGCTGTACCAGTCTACCCATTTGTTTTTGGAGCGTTCCAGTCTAACTATTTGTTTTTGGAGTGCACCGGTCTATCCATTTGTTTTTTAGAACGCACTGGTCTACCACCACACTGTATTTTACCGCTGATCAGCTGTAGGGCAGCCCTTTGAAGCGCCATGGCAAGAGTTTAAACAGTTTTTTGCCGCTCTGCCACCACCGAGAGCATCGGAAACCACTTTCAGGCAGTTTGGCCTCAGTTGCCAATCTACCACCACCAAGTGGTTTACAAGGAGTGGATCGGTTCTAGCCGATCAGTTGGGAGGCTTCTTGGCTTCTCAATTGAAAGCTAAGATGTCTTGGTTTATTTCCCCCTCTTCTTTGTCAAGTGAGCTCTGATTTTTTTCCTTCTAGCAGATCAACTGACACTCAGGAGGCAGCGAATAGATTGGGGGCAGGCCAGGCAGAGGTGGTATTTACCGGTTCTCCAAACTACTCAAAATTTCCACTACCGGTTCACAAGAACCGGGGAGAACCTGGTAGCAATCCACCACTGATATGTTCCTATTGTATGAAGAAGGAAAGCAGTGGTAACCTTAGATGCATTAACTCAGCTACCCATGTAAAGTTTTTACTGCCTGTCCATGTTTGGATCTCAGAAAACTGGAAACTCAGCCTTTTTTTAAAGCTGTATATGGAATCCTTGCATTTTTTAAAACAGGTGGCAGCATGGAGCCAGGGCACCTGATTGCCAAAGCCAGTTTTCTCCTTCCAAAGGATCATCTAAATGGGGAAACACAGATGTGATAAAAGCAGCTTGAAGATAATTCAGAACTAGGAAACAAGTAGAGGAAAAAAGATCATTATCTAACTTATTCATTAGCCTTTACCTAATAAAGATGATATCAGAGAGGGTGAACTTGATTCTGTTCTGCCCAATTCCTGAACAAAAGAGAAACAATTATTTACTATTTTTTTAAAAAAAAATGCAGTCTACTCCTGTGTGTGATCCTCAAAATCTGTCACATGCCATGGAGCCATGGTTAGAATGCAGTATTGCAGACTAACTCTGCCCACTGCCAGGAATTCGAGCCTCACTGGCTCAAGGTTAACTCAACCTTCCATCTTTCTGAAGTCGGTAAAATGAGGACCCAGATTGATGGGGTTAATATGCTGACTCTGTAAACCGCTTAGAGAATGCTGTACACAGTGCTGTAAAGCACTATGAAGGGGCATATGTGTCTAATGCTATTGCTATTGCTACTTTCAGGCGATGTTTTCTTTCTGCCGACAGGGCCCTGTGGACTACTTGAAGCAACTCCGGGTCATACAGGTCTTTGTTCTTGAAACGGCTTTGAAGAATGCGTGTCTGCGGTCTCTGTGGCTTCTAAAAACTCTGCAAAAGCATACCCTGCTCTTGCATAATGTTTTGAGGCTCCAGAGATCATGCCTGAGCAGGGGCCTGTCATACCACTTCCAGCGGGTCCAGAGGCTGCACAAGAGGACATGCCTTCATAGCCTCTGAAAATTGCGCAAGAACAAAGTGTGCTTTTAAGAATAGTTGTTGGTGAGTAGTGGCATGTCACCCAAAATATTGTGGCATGTCACTTTTGACACTCATGTTGCAGGGTTTGCCATCCCTGAAGAAGATCATGAGCAGTCATGATCTCTGGCACCTACAATCATGATCCAACCACCAAATCCATATGCTGAGCAAGCATTTTCCAAAAGGAGAATCATGTGAGTCTCCCTGTCTCTCCACCATTCCCAAACTATGGGAGATTATAGTTTTTATGTCAGTCACAAGATTACCAGAGTTTGCACTAAATCCCAAGGATGCCAAAATGACAACCTATCCGTGGTGAGGTCATTGTGTAAATCATGCAACTACAGACTCTTTTCCCAACATCTAATTAAGCACATAAGTGGTATCATTTGCATGAGGATTATATGTGTGTTTTGCCTCTTACCTCAGGTGCGAAGGTTCAAGGTCAGATGCTAATTAAACTGATTTATTGCTCACACCTATGCATGACTTAGACCTTTTGTGGGAACTCCAAAGTAGAGAAGGCTAATTCCTCTTTTGACTCTGCCCCAGGCCCTGACAGTCCTTTTCCTACACTCTATATAGAATAAGAAAAGAAACCTTAGCAATAAAAATAAAAACAGGCAACAAAATTTAATAAACAATTATAATGGTTTAACACTGGGCTATGACTTGACAAGAAAGGATTAGCTTATCGAAAGAAATGAGATTCAATTTGCTATCTTTTATTGTTGCTTTCTGTTCAGCATGCAGAAAAGGCTTGTGGCTGCTTATGTGGGTAGAAAAAGAGTATCTTTGAACCTTTGGCTCTGCTGCCTTTTCTTTTAGGAGATCAATGGGCCTAAAAGTCAATGCGCTGTGTAGCTTGATAATCTGTGACCGGTCATTGTCTTGAACTCCTGTGAAATCATCTTCAGACCGGTCATCTTCATATGGTGTCTCATATGGATCAATTTGAATGGATGATCTATAAATGTTGATTTGATATTGTTCTATGTAATAATCATTAAAAATGTTTAAAATGAAATATAGCATGTACAGTATGGCTTTTTCTCTGATTGAACACAATGGTGAAAAAAAATCACTTCATAAACTCTGACACAGAATGTGTTACTTGTACTTAAGCTAAAATCTTTGGACAAACTGAATGTACTTCTGAGTAAATATGCATGGGATTGTGCTGTATGTCCTATTTACAATAATGTGCAGATCTTTGATATATCCACAAGTTTTCGAGGCTTATAATGTTCATCGCAGAAAGCAGGCCTAAAGATTCAAAATTCTTCAAACTTTGCCTTCCTTAATTTCCCTCTTTGCTTTTCTTTACTGCTGAGAAAACAAGAGTTCTGTCAAAACTGCTTTCTCTTTCCCTCTACATCAGGGGTGTCAAATTCAATTTCATTGATGGACGCATCAGGGTTGTGTTTGACCTTGGAGCACTGGGGGATGGGCGTGGCCATGATAGGCGTGGCCAGCTCGACATCACTCATGTTGGGGGCACCTCTGGTGGCCAAGTACTAAGGAAGGACTTCCTTGAGGCCCACCCTTGTCTTGTCTTGTCTTGTCTTGTCTTGTCTTGTCTTGTCTTCTCCTCTCCTCTCCTCTCCCCTCCTCTTCTCTTTCCTCTTCATTCTCCTTTCTTCTTCCTTCCCCTTTCCTTCTTTTTCCTTCCTTGCTCTCTTCCCATCTTTCCTTCTTTTACTTTGTCCTTCTTCTTTCACTTTCTACTTTCCTGTCCCTTCTTGCATGCTCAAATGCAAAAGGGGAAATATTTCTCCTTTTGTTTTATTTTTAGTTTGTTTTGCTAACTCTCTGCCAGTGAAAATGGAGCTCCGTTTTCACTGGCAGAGGCACCACGGGCCAGTCCTTTGCTGTTTCCAGGTCAACCCCGTGGGCCAGATCTAAGCACCCCACAGGTTGGATCCGGTCCACAGGCCTTGGCATTTAACATCCCTGCTCTACATCAAATGGAATCAAATCTTCATAGACCAGTATAAGGAGAGTGGATTCGAGTTAATTAAAAAAATTAATCACAGGTTTCTTCCTTTCTTTTTTTTTTAAATGAAAAACTGGATGTTAAAGTAGAAAGAATATAATATATAAAAGTCTATAAGAATGTAAAAGAAGGGGTAGGAACATCAGATGAGTGTAGGGGAGTATAAAAAATTACCATGCGGAAGACTATATCAAATTATAGAGTGCTTTAATTTTGTGAACTATATGCTCAATAAGTCTAGTTTATGCCACAGGTCATTGTCAGGCAAAATTGAAGTGCTATTGGGCTGAATCTGACAGCTCTATATGTTGTTTCATAGATGCAGTTTCATCAACACTAGTAGTCTGGCTGGAGCTGCTAGGCGATGCAGTTCAGAAACATCTGTAATATATTACCAGCTATGTTATTTTCCAGTTTGCTAATATGAATTAGCAAAAGGCAATTTAAGATGAAATAAACTTAAATTCATTATTTAAAAACCAGGGTAACCATAGGTTGCAAAAAGTCAGAAAATTGGTGGATGGCAGCCACGTGATGTAGAAATTAGACAATTTCTGCCATCTACTGATCATTTAGATTTTGCAGCCCAGGGCTGGCAGCCTTGTTTAAAGTACAACTTATTTTCTCTCCCCTAGGGTATATATTTCATGTGCTATATTATTTTTAAAATCAAGAAACATTGATTTCAGTCAGGGAGATGTAACTTGTGAACAAAACATAAGTAGTTCCATGCAATATCAGAGGTGCCATTGCAACATAAGTACACTGTGCTTATAATACCTTTTCTTATTTGACATGCACATTTAATCTATATACCAACTTTGGATAAGTGCAGAATTATGGACTTGACTCCCATGAGTCAAGCTGCAAAAATAAATAGTTCCATGCTAGCAACCCCTTTGGGGGTGATTATTTTCTTCAAATTGTGGAAATGCAGTGCTGTTGATTGAGATGACAATGCACTATCAGCATTAACAAAATCACTACCAGCTATTGGAAAAAGCACCTTTGCTTGGGACAGCTTGCCTCCTGCGACGGTATTATTAAGCAACAATAGGTTGACTCAGCCTTCCATCCTTTCTAAGGTAGGTAAATTGAGGACCCAGTTTGTGGGGGCAATAAGCTGACTTTGTATAAAATATACAAAAGTATGAAGGCTATTGCTTAATGTACTGTAAGCCGCCCTGAGTCTCCGGAGAAGGGCGGCATATAAATCAAATTTAAAAAAAACCCAATATCTGCCTATCCCAGGTCTTTGGGAAGGACTAACTAGGTCACGCGTGTCAAACTTGCAGCGTCACGTTGTGGTCACATGACATATTGTGACATTTCCCCCTTCATGAAGGTGGGGTGGGCATGATCTCATTGTGATGCATCCAGCCTGAGGGCCGCCAGTTTGACAACCCTGCACTAGGTGGACAAAAATGCCAAATCCAATCTAAATACCTAATTAACTGTATAGTCAATCGCAGTAATAATATTGGCTCTTAGAAAATGTTCACTATCTTTGAAGATCTCCCAGAGCAGTTCTAGAAGAGTTTATGAGAACTGTAAAATATAACCTTTAAACCTTAACATGAGCCTCATTAAAAGCCCTTGAAGGATATAAAAAAAGCACAATGTTTGATGCGGAAATTCTTTTCTAATAACTGCAGATTACTAAAAGTGCTATGAAAAGAAATGGCCAATACTGCTATTATTTTATTGGAAATGAGTCTGAAGCTCAGTGGTAGGGGAAAAAAAACAACCATTAGGAAGACAATTTTCATGCCTCTTTAGGGAAGTGCCATAGAAGATTTTATGCAGTTTTTCTCTTTCCGCAATTCTCTGTGTAAAATCTTGAAAAACAAAATGGCTCATAAGTTTTGGGATGACACTAGCTATGAAGTGGCTGAAGCAAGGGCAGATATATGGTTTTGTTTCCTACTGCTGCCCAAATGCCTCTTTTTGTTCTCTTCAGATCTCTGCATAGCTTTTTATACTAACAATCAAGTTAAGATTCATCCAAGTTTGATGGAAATGGAGAAAAAGATCACCTTTACTCTAAGGGCTTGAGGCAATTCACAGATGCATGTGTTTATGAGCAGAGTTTGGGTGGATTGTAGGTGTTACTATTACAAGTAGTCCTTGAGTTATGACCACAATTGAGCCCAAAATTTCTGTTGTTAAATGAGACATTTGTTAAGTGAGTTTTGCCTCATTTTCTCTCTCTCTTGTCACAATTGTTAAGAAACTCACTATAGTTGATAAATTAGCAACCTGGTTGCTGAATGAATCTGGCTTCTCCATTGACATTGCTTGTCAGAAGGTTGCAAAAGAGGATCAGATGACCTTGAGACATAGCAACAGTAATAAGTATGAACTAGTTTTCAAGCATTTGAATTTTGATCACATGATCATGGGGATGCTGCAAAGATTGCAACTGTGAAAAATGGTCATAAATCACTTTTTTCAGTGCTATTGTTGTTGTGACCTAGGCTTACTGAATCATTAAAACACACGAGTAGTCCCAAAAACCTCTTTTATTGCAATAGCTATGAATTACTTTCATTCACAGCTGAGTCCCAATTAGTTGCAAAAAGTCCTTCGGGAGAAGTCCTTCAGGATAATCCCAAACCTTTATCTCCCTTGACATGCTGCCAAAGACCTACTTGGCAAAGCCACACGGAGTCCAGAATCAAACAGAGATGCCAACTGGGAACAGAATGAACAATGTTGCTTTCCTGCAAAGGGCCCACATGCCTTTGCTCCTCTTTTAAGCCTTATGAGAGGGGCCAATCATCTCCAGGCCTTACTCCTGAGTCATCCCTTTTGTTTTAACTATTCTTGTCTTCTGGCAGCTCTGTGCATGCGTGCACTAGGAACAGGCTCCTCCTGTTCCTCTGCCTCTTGATGTCTGTCTCTGGAGGCTCCAGAGTCCACACATAACTCCCAGATGGCCCTGGCCCCATCTCTGCCTCCGACGCAGAGCCCTCGTCCGAGCCTTCCCCAGACTCCAGGACTGGCCTTTGGTCCTCCCCAGCCTCCTCACTGTCCAACTCTGCTGCCAGCTCCGCAGGCTTCTGGCGGACCACAACAGTTGTAACTTTGAATAGTCACCAAATGAACTGTTGTAAGTTGAGGACTACCTCTAGTACTGCAGCAAGGGCTCAGAAAAATGGATTCAACCTCACTTCTCCTGACTCTAATATTACTTTGGTCTCAAATAGAAATCTTTCTTGTCCCAAAGCTGCTTTTTGAAAGGCAACTGGACTTTCTTCAGCTACTGAAGAAGATGCTTGGGTGAGAAGTGAAATGTCTTCAAGGAAAAAAAAACCAAGAAAGGCCAGTTGCCTCATGAAGAAAGCATTTTTGGGACAACCATGACCTGCATGATTGAAAATCTCCACAGACACATATTCTCATTTCTTACAGTTAGGGGTCCCAAGAAGCCAGAAAAGCCTGCCTGCCTTCCCTTCCCTCAGGTTGCGTATCTAAAGGGAGTAATAGCTCTTGAGCAAAGGACAATGTGGAGGTACAATATCTGTCTGATCATCTTCAAAGACTCCATTCAGGAAGAGCTGCAGCAGGGCCACAAAGCCTGATCTTGGTTAAAGGAACAGATTCAAATGAAAATTTATCTTCTCCTTCTTCTGTATATTTGTATAAAGATAGATCATAAATTCTTGGGTAGAGATTTCAGCATTTGTTATTGACAAAAAAACAAAACAAAACAAAAAACCCTTGCAATTCATCCAAATGTTTAATAAGGACTGTTAACAGTGCAACAGGTACATGAATGACTTCTGATGAATAAAAAGCAAAACAAGGTCAGAAGAGAACTATTTTATTAGTACTTAAGTTAAAATCAATTTAAGTCCTTAAGTTATCATATCAACAGCCACTTTAACTGTTCTATTTGTCTACCATCCATTCATCAGATAAGAGGTAAAATATAGGCGATACCATTAAAATAGATTTGAAGCTCACTTTCCACCTTTCCTAAAGCATGATTAGAATGATTTGTATGATAGTCCAAGAGCCAA